CATTTATTATTTTCATTATGGATTCGTCTGCATCTTATTATTTCAGTTTCAAATAAATAATGTATTACCCAAAGTGACATATTCAGACTGTTTTGTTCAAGTAACAGTCTGAAACCCAAAGATATTCAGTTTACAGAGATATAAACTTTTCATCATCAGCTAATCAATTAATCATACAGATTGATACAACAACAGAATCTGATACAGATTGGGATTTTGAGGCAGTTAACAATAAAAATATTCAAAAATAATACAAATCAGATAAAAATATATTTGACTGATATAACTGACTGAATAAATAGTCATTTTGATGTGGATGGATTTAACATTTGAACAATAAACTTATCATGAACATAACAGTAAACATAATAGTTTTGAACAACAAACCTCACTTGTACTTAGGGCTCAATAAAAATAACAATAAATATCACGATATAATTTTTTCAATAACAATATAACAAATGTTCAGACACTTCAACTATACACAAATTAGTACTTAATTCTTTTATTAAGATGTTTATTTTGTTCAGGAAAAAGGACTGAAAGAAGCCTTTACTTAATTTTACTCATGTATGTTTGTTAAAGATTTTATCATGTTTTGAATGTTCTACCTCAGATTTGTGAAGAGATCCACTGTTTGGCCTCAAGTGTTGATCATAAAGAAGAGTTTAAACCACAGTTAATCATCAGGTTTCTTCAACTTTCACTCAGGAGCAAAAATTTGCCTTTAAACTCGAAAGAAATAACGATTTGATACTTATCACGATAATTATCAATAACAAAAGATATGAAACTTTTTATCATGATAACATTTTTGGCCATATCGTCCAGCCCTACTTGAACTTCAGTTATTATTTACTACTACTTAGAAAATCACAAATGAAATAAAACAAAAACACTATAACTTGAAAGGGGGAGTAAGCGATTCTGGAGAAATCCAACACTATGACAAATACCATGAAATAGAGCAAAAGACGACACAGTAAGCACAATAGTTTAATAGTGGGTTAGCAGTTCTTCCAAGAACCGTGGATTTGAAAAGATATATGCACTTCGACTCAGCTTATCGGTACCTAAATTCTTGCGTGTTTCAGTCACGTTCCCGGTTTAAGCATTTTACAGTCCATAAAAGTTGCTGCTATGCCGACCTAACGTCATTTGTTACACAATGCATCAACAAACCATGCGAGAAGAAAGTACATCTGTTCACATTTCTTGACCATGGTGGACCGCAGCAAAATGCTTATCTTTTTTTAGCAAAACTAAGACAGCAACACAGCAAAATGCAACACCTGCACTAAAGATATTTCGTGCAAGGGAGGGAGCAGCTCCAATATGAAGAAGCATTTACTTCAAAACGGCGTGAATCTTAAGGAACACCATGTTCAATGTATTGCGGTCTCCCAGCTACAATGACGCAGAAACAACGTTAAGGGTAGCAACGTCTCACACTCAGGTACAAAACACAGATGAGCCGACATCTACCTTTTATATTTAAAAAAGGTGAAGGAATCAGAATAGAGATTCGATAAGTAGAATCGGAAAGGATAAAATTGAAACAAAACCCAACCCTAGCTCTAATACACAACTATAAAAAAATGGGACAGTGACACCTGTCCAAGCAGAAGAAAACATTCTACAGGCAGTTCAGCTTATACCTCCCATTTCTTGTACACAGAGGTACACATGCGAATACAGGAGAAGGCAAAACAGCATCGAAGCAACAGAATATAGAGGCGAAAACACCTAAAGTAAGTTCTTCCATTTCGCACCATCCCTGAATGTTTCTCCTTCATGGCTCTCCCTCTGGGTCTACATCTGTGATACAAACTAAACTCTTCTGCAACAGTCAAAGAGCTTCATTGTGCTGCCTGCCAGAGTCCACACACACACATAATAAGCTCACCGTGGCCGCCGGTAGTTTATTCTGCCTGTGATGAGAAACCTGAGCATGGACACACATGTACACCGGCCCCCCAGTTTCCCAAACAGAGACACACACACAAATGTTTTAGAATAATTCAAAGACACACAGATAACACAGACATACAAAATGTAGTTTAATATGCCATTAATGAGCAATCAAAGTGTGGAGACACACACACACACCTAGCAAGGAGTTCAGTCTGTGTAATTAATGGTAGGATATAAAAGGTGGTATGAGTGGCTGCTCTCAGCCACCTATAGCAGCGAAACCACTGTGCTTTTTCTTGGCCCTGCCGAGCGTTCCCTCCTCAAATCCAAACCCATTCCAGCTCGTGGTCCTCTCTAATTTCACCCAAAGCAGCAGAAGCTTGAGCTGAAAAAGAGCAATCTGGCCCCCAAGTCCAGCAAACTATTCCCTTTTCCTGTCTCCCTCCTTTTCCAGCGACCACAGATCGACAGCTCCATGGCCAGCACTGGCCCAAAACTATGAGGGGTATTTTCAGCACTGTAATTTGAAGAACACATGGCGCACACACACACACACACACACACACACACACATACACACACATAATGATTCAATGAGACAGGAGAGGAGACACAGATGCCCGCTAAGGCACGTGTCCTTACATCCACAAAGCACCTCGTCCAATGAGGATCAGGTCAGCAAATGTGCCTGTTCACACAGTGTGCTGAGTAGTCATGTAGCCCAGAGCAGGAAAGCAGGGCGGAGGCCTAGCTACATAAAGATGTGAAAGAAACTCATCTGAAAACAAGGAGGCCAGTATAGGGATGGCAGGGAGGGCAGAACCCAGAACAGCCAGCTTTAACGTTATATATAATGTTTATCTTTGGTGACTGATGATTCACCACTTTGCTATCCTTACAGTGCGTGTGATTTAGGTTTTGACTTGACTTGATATACTTGTGCTTTTGTTTCTACTCCTTTTCACTTTTTCATGAAGCTTGCACGTAAGTGGCCCATCAGATGCCCATCAGCTGGTGGTTGATTTAATATTTAAAAACTATTTGTAAGTCTTCGCCAAGAGATGTGTCTGAAGATATATAAAACACATTAGCGCAAATGTTTGTTATAGTGCCCTTTTACTGTACACACTGGAGGGTGGGGGGGGGTGAGGTCAAGGAAAACAGAAAAATAGACAACAAAACAAAATTCAATTTTGAAATTCAGTCTGCTCTTCAGCAGTGGGACAGGGAGAGAAAGGACGCCACATGTACAGACACGCACTATACCCATGTGTGCCAACTACCTAAATACAACCGTCTGTATGCTTGTGCACGTCCATACACACTTGCACTGATTACAGATGCAGTATATGCTGCTGCTCCTGTCCAAGACCTTAATTACCCTGCACAGTCTTATTTCCCATAAATACAGCGAGGGCAGGGCAGTAATTACGGCCTATATTTACTCCACCTGGCTAGGGGAGAACCCAGTTTCCTGCTGGCCACAGTGATGAGCCAGCCCCTCTCAACATGGATGCCATGGGTGGAACAAGGACAACAGTGGGCACATGTGAGCTGTGGCCCAGCTCAGGGGCTGGATCCTTTAGAAGCATAGGGGGCATATAGGTACACCTCCTTCCCAAATAAGATGGACTAGACTCACAGAGATGAACTGTGCATTCAGGTGTACCAACTCAGCTTGTAAAGTAAAACACTTTTAAGTTTATCAGCAGGCAGCTCTTCCATAACAGCCAATAAAGTGTAAATAATGGTGGCGTGGCACCAATTTCCTGTTTACAGTGCACATTTTGATCCTTTCTTTCTTCATATGATGAAGAACTGGCAAAGAGTGTACAAACTTTTATTTATCTGGTCTTGCTAAAGGCAATGGATAACCACTTACATAATAGCAAATATGTAATATGCAGGGGTGAGGAAAAATGGTATTTCCAGACTTTTTGGTTGACAAGCCACAACAAACAAACAAACAAACAAACAACTAATTGGTATACCCTGGATTTTGGGATACAATGGATGATGGCTGCAAATGATTCACCGGTTGGGTCCTCCATCTCTGGAAAAAAAGAGGGCTGCTGTCTTCCTTTTGGAGGAGACATTAAATTATAATTTGAAGTTCACCGGGGATTGGGCTGATACAAATGAATTGTGCCATTCTCTTGGGTACACTATTGGCCGTACAGGAAAAGCATGGCAAAAAACAAACAAATAAATAGCGTACATTACATGTCAAAGTGCATCAGTGCCTTTTGTCTCTGATCTGGTTGGTTTCAATGCACACATCCCTCTTTGTTTGTGTATTACAGGGAAATACAAACTCTTGCCTATTACGTCCAAAAAAGTAAGAAATTTATTATGCTTCACTGCAGCTTTCGTGAGATATCCTTACCCAGAAATCTTTCAGAGAGGAGTTGTGGCTTCTCTTGATGAGGACAACTGACTAGCTCTCATGTAAGACGCCAAACAGACCTCCCAGTGAGGTTACAGATTCAAATAGCTTGGACACTTCCCTGCCCATCTCCTTTTACTTTGCGGCCAGACTGGCTTTTCCCTGCCATCACATCACATATACAACAACAAACTGATCGAAATGCAAACTGGAAAAAGTGGCAATGCTTCACTGTGCCCTCGCTTTAGGCACAAACAAATCATTCTGTGAAATCTCCTTGTAACCACTGATACAATGTGAAGTGTTGAGTTTTTTGTGCAGAAATTAGAGCTTCACACTTCTTCTTTGCATCCCAATTGCTGGCCTCATCGTGTTTCAGTGTGTTTAGGATTCATCACCCGCACGCTTTAAACCCTCCTTCAGCAGATGGGGTGTTAATAGGAGTGGCGGTGGCTCTCCCATTCTCAAGAGAGAGAGTCACACATCTGAAAGCTGTCAGGGTCAGACTCTGCCCACTCTGCTTTCAGAGGACTTTCAGATAGATAGGCAGAAAGAACAAGAAAGCAAGAGAACGCAAAACCAAATAGGGAAGAGCAACTCTCCAATGACTTTGATCTGGGTCCTAACTCTTCTTTGGTTTGAGGTGGTTGAAGCCATGTGCAGAGGAGGACAGAATGCTGACTCAGGCCTCTTCACTCCTTGGTCCTCCTCCTCTTCATGGCAGTGAGATGAATCCAGGATTCATCTTGATTAATGAGAGAGTGGGAAAGAAAGAGAGAACACAGAGAAACTAGTAGACTTGGCTCAACAGTCTCTCTGTGTCTTGGTGGCCCAGCGGTCTAAAGCAACCTTTTTTACACCGCAGACCATATGATTTCATCACGGCCCCCATACCAGTTTACCAGTGTTCAGAAGTAGCAATACAACAATGTAAAAATACTGTTACAAGTAAAAGTCCTGCATTAAAAATAGTGTTCAAGTAAAAAGTGCACATATTCTAACAACATTGAACGTTAAGTATGTAAGTAAATACTTACAGGTAAAGTACAAATATCTCAATATGGTACAGTAAAGGTCAAAAATTGGTTTGAAGCGCAGACCAAAAAGCTAAAACTTAAAACATATTGCTGGGTTCCGATCTGCCTTAAGACCTTTGAGTCTTTTTCTCCCTCCCATACGGTCTGTTGCTACTTGACACCGCCAACTATCTAATGAAGTCAAAAATGCCATTGACTTGACTGGAATGTCCCAGCAGCACATCCCCGCCACCAGTAACCACTGGACTCTTACTGGAGACGCTGAGACAGACAGACAGACTCTACCCAACACTGATTCAATCTAAACTAATGAGACCCTTCAGCTGCACCAAGTGATTTACATCAATTTTCAGTGCAATTATATTTGAATTACTTGAATTTGTTTAACAGAGTTTGCGGAGTGGCCAAGGACCTGGAATAGTATTTATTCGGGCAATCCAGAGTGCTGCTGAAAAGCTGATGCCCGCAGTGCATGTCTGGTGACAGAGAGAGAGAAAGACCCCTTGCAATGGCAAAACTTCAAACAGGCTGGTGAAAAGAAGTGCGTTAAAGGGACTTCAACACCGACACACCTGATGTAAACATCCAAGTTCAAACACTGGAGGGGAGCCAGCGGACTCAGCTCATGTTACAAATTCAAACACAGACACGCATGCACCATACTCGCACCCTGCGTTGTGAAGGCAGACAGTTGCAAGCGTGCCACAAAGAAAATAATCCATGTGTACTTTTTTTACTTGCTCTCTCACTCCCCATCAGAGTCAATGACATCACATACCTCTGAAACAGTAGGCCTTTCACGAAGGTGTCAAAACACATACAACACACGGGGGAGCACATACGCGTGCAATCTTATGCAGAGACAAAGACCCATTAGTGCACAAATATGCAGTCATCTCCCTGCTGACTGCCATACAGGGTGATGTGCCTTCAGGTATTTTTGTAGTCTCGCATTTAATCTGCTTCGGCATGTAGTGTAGTGTCACAGGATTACTCATATTTACAAATGAAAGAGCCCGTGGCCTGAGGCAGACCGAGCATCTCAGAAATTAAAAAACGCCCTGGGAGGTCAGCCACTTAAAAGTGTCAGAATATGCCCTACATTGACCGGCCTCTCGCAACCCTCGCAGCACCCTCTCAACATCTTCATCTTCCCTCAAATACACAATATGCTCTACCACTCCACTTCCTCATTGGTTGTGACTTAGTCCTATTGGCTGAGAGATTTCCAATAATTTAGGGAAGGAGTGGTGTGAGTGGAGAGGGTCATGGTCGTACTAGTTTAGTGCGGGATGGGTACCCGTGGGAAGAGGACTGTAGCTTGTTTAGCACATCCATAAATCAATAGTAGATGAATCACTGAGAGTGGCCAGTGGTGAGCTCACTGGGTTACTGTCAACATGTTTATCACTAGATGTAGTGCGGAGTAAAGAAAACATTTATAGTAAATGGCAGAGGAGTGACAGGCGCCAGAGCTATTTTTACCCATATCTAACTTCCCATTGTTTGCCTTAAATAGAGCAACATAAAGTTCTGTGTGTACTAAATAAAAGGGTTTTCTAAGCTGGATAGCTGCATTTGATTTCCGTGTTTTCAAAGAGCAGTTGTCAGGTGTTTTGGCAGTGTGTTGAGGGCTTTATTAGGGGACTTACCTGAACAGGTGTCAGCTGGGCTCTGGGGTCGAACACCCGCAGCATCTTGTCCTAGACGACGGGGGGAAAAAAAGGACAAACTTTACTTTTCTATATGGCTATTAGTTGACACCTTGGTTTCATTCTCAGTGCAAAACTACACTCAGTTGCCAGTTCAATGGGTACACCTAGATAAAACCAATGCAGTTATGCAATAAATCCTACCTTCATGAAGGTTATAATGTTCAGACTTTGTTGCTCATTTAAGGATGTAGTTTGTATAATGTGATACAGTTCAACCGCAGCACAGAGAGGACTTTCTGTTATTTATCCTACTCTCACTGATATAATTTAAGTGGAAAAAATAATAGTAACAACTATCAGTATAATTTCAGCCTGTGTTTAACCGTGAATTTTGTATAATTATGACGTGCAAGGGAGGTCAAAGACCATGTGCTAGGTCAAGACTTAAAGTTCTCACAAAGAAAGGGCGGAGGAATTAAATATTCTATTTTCATAGAAACTATGAACTGAAATACAAACGCTACATATTAAAACCATTAATAATGAGTCCCTCCACCTCAGCATAATTCAAATAAAGAATAACAAGCTCTCTGAAGTTTCCTTAATTTATCAGTGCGATCTGACTGATTCATCGTCCGCAAATGCAATCCAGTGACCTCTCCACAGCCTCATGTGCCTCGACACCGGCCAGCCCAAACACACATGAGGCATCAATCACAGCAGCCCATCAGAGAGGCTCCTGAGTGATTGAGAGGAAATGGGGCCTAATGGGAGCAGGCTGTGACTGGGACATCTGCGTCTGCAGCCGTGTCACTCAATACCGGTGTGAGACTGTGATCACAGCAGACATACAGGGCTGATAGCAGGTAATAAGTATAAGGACTTAGACTAAACCATGCACACATATACATGTCAAAGGGAATCAGGAGACTGACAATAACACAGTCAAGCACACACACAGGGGCACCATGCAACATTCAGCCGCAGACAACATACAGCATCTCCACTGCTGAAGCAAACGATCAGCGTGAACTTAAAGCTTCTCTTCATCCTGCTCTCCTCAGAAATCCAAGAGGGGATTTATTTGCTGTTTATTAGCTTGAACAGCAAACGAGGGTGGGGTCCCTAATCTGACCTTTCCCTATGTGCCTCTCTCTCTCTATGTGTGTGTGTTTGTCTAGCCCACCCACGAATATGATGCCCCAAGGCCACATCTTCAGGCCTCTGTGACATGGGCCTACGCCAAAGGCTCAGGGAGAAGTGCCTGAACAACAACAACCCCCCCCCCCCCCCCTCCTCACCTTACAGAAGCTGTACTAAGCTGATTTTGGCATTCTTACTTATAAGATGATTAAAACCAATATTCAATTATCAAAACAGTTGCCGGTCTACTCGATTAATGTACAATCCTATTCAAGCTGCTTAATATTTTACCAGCAACAGAGTTCCCTGTCCTCGCAAACGCACCTTAGAATAACCACATATCTCCTGTACATTTAGACAAAAATATATTTGACAAATTAACTTCACTCACTGCCATATCAACCTACGTGCTGTTGTGCAAACAACAACATGAGGGAGGAAACTATCTGGCAGTGCAAACACATAGATGAGGGGCTACTCACAACCACACACACTCAGACAAGCAAATACACTCTCTTAAGCCTATGAGAATAACCCATATAAACGCACATACACCACCTCAACTCATAAATGCACAGATGGAGGGCCAGGAGAGCTGTGTGTGTGTGTATATTTGTGTGTGTGTGTAAATTTGTGTGCGTGTATGTGCTGAGACAGCAGCTGTTTAATCAAAGTGGCGGACCCTCACTCTCAAGCTGCTGCTAATGACTTTTCACTGTGAGTCTACAGCACACAACTTTCACATTACAAACACACATGGGCGCTGAGAATCTTCAACCAGAGGTGCGCTCTCGCTTTCTCTTCACCAGTCAACAAACACACTGCGCTGCCAGCCTCTCGTTCCCAGTCTCCCACGGTTACAGGTGTCACAGCCTGTTGTGACTGGCAGTCTGACGCTGCACAACCCCCTTCATCCAGCTCATTCTTTTCACCACTGGAAATACGGTGTCGAGCTCAGTTATAATGCGAATGCAAAAAATTCAAGGTGGACTGCTGACCATAAATCCAGTGACACCTCATTTCAAAGCAGCATACCACCCTGTCCCGTCCATCAGTTGGATAAACACAGGCTTTGCCCTCCCTCTCTGCTCGTGCTACCTGTGGACTTGCCTCCCCTAAAATGAATGGCACCTTTCTCCCTCCAAGTGTGTCATAAATATACATCTCTCTAGGTCCAAACGAGGCCTGTCATGATTTCTGCTCTTTATGGTGGTGTTCTCCCCTTCATCTCACCCCCTCAGCCCTGTGCCCCAATGTTTACCCTACGGGAGGGACAGGGGGGATTGAACCCACATGTTGGCAGGCCCTATTTGCTTTAATAAGTTGGATTGGAGAGATGGAAAGGGGCCTTTCAGGTTAAATGACACCAGAGCCCAACAGGGCAAGAACCTCAGAGCCCCCCCCCCCCCGACTCTGATCTTGACTCACATCCCCACCCCACCCCCGCTCCCTTTCTTTTTAGGTGCCATGTTATTTTCTTAGGCTACATTGGTAGGGGTGGTAGCTCTGGTGAGGTTGATTATTCTGTCAAAGCAAATGTCACGATTGGGATGTAGCCTGTGATGGGCTGGAGTAATTTGTTACTTGTCAGAGCAAAGGCAAACAACAGAGATTGGACTGACAGTCATACCTTTTAAGTAGACGCATATGGTAGATTTTTGTGTCAAAGTTTATTCTGTCTCAAGCACAATTAAACCTACCATGCATTGTCTTAAGTATAAACCAAGGGCCTCTGCCTCATTTTCACATCAATCAGTATGTGTGTTAGGTGCAAATAGATAGAGAAATTCACTGTGGAGCCCCTCCACCTCTAGCTCTTCCTATAACTCAAATTTATTTATGAAACAATCTACGTCAACTCATAAATTCCCCTTCTCATAAACCCATACCACCTCCCTCCTTCCTCCTCCTAAACAAAATATTAACAACCTAATGGAAAGCCCTTGAAGCTGTGCGATTATTTCCTGATGATACTGATGAGAACAGGGCCATATGGATGCATAAACACCCAGGGAGACTTTCTTCTTAGCTTTTCCCTGTACCCCACATAACTACTGTACATGTCAAAAAGAGTGAAGGTCAGCAGTTCGCACTTAGACTTAAAGTCACACCAGAAGACAGGAGGGTTCAAAGCATACAGGGGTGTGTGCTTGGGGATACAGAAGTTTCAGGGCTCCGGTGGGGTCAAGACAAAAAAAAAGCCCCCATAGATTTATCCTTCACACACACACACACACACACACACACACACACACACACACACACACACACAGGCTTGTGCCCTTGTTAGTGCCATAATTAACAAATTAATACAGTTTCCATTCCCGACCAGGAAAATCTCCACAGGGTCACAGCAGTGGCCAAGGTTTCTTTCTTTGTCATCACTATTACTGTGTTAAATAAAACTGGCAATTATCTTTTACGTCATAGAGCATTCCAAGTTTATTCTTTTTCCCCCTCTAAAGAACTGCTCACTAATTCATTAATCCAGTGTGAGGTGTGATCCCCACCCCTTTTTATGAGCATTACCCCATTGACATTTTTATTAAAGAAACCCCATGCAAACAGATAAGGAGCAGCAGTGTCCAATGTGAGGCAAAATGCACTGAATGTGACCCACTGGCTGCACCTAGTGGTCACACAGTGCAACTACAGCAATCAAACCTGGGTCCATAATAATAACAGAAATAAGATAGTTAAGGGAACTAGAATTGTCACTTTTTCATGCTTTAAAGTTAAAAGTGAAGCCATGCAGGTCATCACTGCAATAAATATGTGTGTGGTGCATTGCAAGTTGTCATCACCTTGCAGGAGGAAGCCAGCAAGGAACCGTCCTGTTTCCAGCTCAGACTCTGCAGCTGGTCACTGTGCTGCTCCAGAACTGCAGAAACATACATCATCATCATTTAGAGAAGGGAGATAAGGAAAGGACTAGAGACACAATGTTCATGTCAGACAGGGACAAATAAAGAAAACAAAAGGTTTAGGGGGGGGGGGGGAGGAAATGTGATGCTACACGTTGTGAACACAGAATGACCGCACAAAACAATGAACACAATACAAGAGGAAAAATGCAGGGTAAGAGATGACGCCATAAATCAAGCACACAAAATTCAGAAACACATAAGAATACAAAGTACAGATGATCTACACCAGACGATGGATCATGTGTCCACACAGTTAGGCTTATGAGAGAATTTATGAGTATGACACGTTTTAGGCTGCAGTGCCATAAGTGAGCACAGCATAGCTTGTGTGAATTGGGGTTCAGCATGACACCAAACTGGAGGGGGGGGTGGGGTCCACTTGTTAAGACATTTACACACAAAGTGATTTGACATGAACTTGAAGCCCGAACACACACTCATTCAAGTGAGTGAGTGAGTGAGTGAGTGTGTGTGTGTGGGGGGGGAAGTTGAATCAGCAGTGAGCAGCAGCAGCAACAGCCAGGCCAGCTGTCATGGGATGGGGAGGGATGGGGGTGAAGTGCTTCTGTGTGGGTGGGTGTGTGGAGTGGGTGGCAGGGGTGAAACCAGAGGATAGTGACTACATCCTGAGGCCAGTCTGGGCAGACTGGGACCAGGACTGCAAACCAAAACATTACCTCTGCTGCTCCGGCACATAGACAGAGCCACAGGGCTGTAAAACGTAGGCAGTGTCAGTCAGACAGTCCCCAAAGAAAAAAGGGAAACCAACCACTTCACTCCACTCTGTATATATATATATATATATATATATGTTGTACATAGAAACAGAACAGGCCACAACAAAAAGACTAACTGACAGAGACTGAAATGCTAAATGCAGTAGAGTGCATGATGTACGACAAAGACTTTGACAAAATACATTTTGGTTGTGGTGTGTGTGTTAATATAAACTGTGCACACAGACATGGGTGTGTACACACGCTGCTCATGTCGGCAGCTGTTGCTACCTGCTAGTGGTGCATCCTGGCGGCTGGTGTCCCAAATCAGGGGGGACGAGGTGGTGCCGAGCGCCAGCAAGCTGGAAGAGGTGGGGTGGAAAAGCACCAGCTCCAGCCGGCCCTGACCCGGACGCAGGGTTAGCTCGGGACTGCTGGGCTGCTGCAGCTCTGGATCACACAAACGCCACAGCTTCACCTGCACACACAAAGAGAGGGAGATGTCGAAATAGTACGTGGCAGGGTCGCTTACACTTTCCCACACCTTACAATTCAAAACCAGCAGAAACCTCTTCTCCATCCACTTCACCTTCCACTTTGATGGAAAAAGTCTACAAACCTCAGTGAAGTTCTGCTCCTTTGAACATTAAGTCAGTAGTTATGGTCTGTCTGCGCCAACAGCTGCATTTTTTTTGTTTGAAGCCACACCAGACAAGACAGGCTTGTATGACTAACCCAGCTGACAACTGTAGTCAGTTCTGCTCAATTGCGGACATCTCGATGTAGATGCAGCACTGCATAATTCAGGGTTTGGGTTCAGCTTTGGATTTCTGGTTAATGCTGACATATGAGTGCAGACAAAATGAAACTGTGTTATAATGAGTTCATTATAAGTCAGTAAAAATACATTCCCTCAGTTATATTTCACTCTAATTTACTTGTTCAGCACAACCCAGTTGGCAAAACAATATGCCCTGCTGGCAAAAGATAAGAGGAATGAAAGTGCGCTGCAAATCCCGGGCACTGCAGACCCCTCCAGTGTGTGTGCGTGTGGCAAAAGTTGTGTTTACACAGGCCCCTGAGGTAAACCTAGCTGCTGAGTCTGAAGATGCAAGCCCACACGCAGCAAATTCCGGTAAGCTAGGGTACCTGTGGCTGAGGATAATGTGCTGAGAGGAGGGAGTCTTCAAAAGGTTTAAATAACAAAGAACCAAGCAGGTTCATTTCACATTCAAAGCCCGGGCCAGGAACAACAAAGCCTGAGAGGACGGGAAATGGACTTATGTGCAAGTATACGCCAACAAGATAAAAACAAGATCAATGCAAAGAAAGAGAAAAAGAACAAATGAAGGATGGAGGAGGAGGAAATCAAACAGCTCACCATTTCATCTCCGGAGCATGTTGCCAGGAGACTTTCATCAAAAGGAGAAAAGTCCATATCAGTCATCAGATCTGACAAAGAGGAGGGAAAACAAGAGGAAAATAAAAATTAGATCAGGGTTACAGTTTCATCTGCGATGGACTGGCGACCTGTCCAGGGTGTACCCTGCCTTCGCCCAATGTCAGCTGGGATTGGCTCCAGCCCCCCGCGACCCTGTACGCAGGATAAGCAGTTGACAATGGATGGTTACAGTTTCATTTAATTTCAGAGCAAAGGCATTGACATTGACATTTCTCATGTGATTAGTTTTTTTTTAAGCAGACCAGAGAGTCCTTAGGGGTTGAAGTGGTGGCAGTTATGCAGAGGGAGAGAAGAGGATTGAAATTCAACCTTTATTTTATCTCGAGGAATCATTGAGGACATGCCCTCATTTACAGTGGTGTCGAGAGTAAAGTTAAAACAGAATAAAGGTCAAGAACAACAACAACAACAACAACAACAACAACAACAACAGAACACAGACGTGCTGACAAAAAGGATAAAGAAAAACTACCAGAATGGCAGGAGATCTGAGTGACTGTCCATTGGCCATCTGAACCTGGTTTGACTGAGGACAGGCCCAGCATTCCTCCACCTGCAGACACATACACAGAAAACACACACTTTAAAAAGACTGCTTCCTTTTTTTCCCCTCATATGACCTGAAAATCCATTATTTCCACCCAGCTCATTGTGATTTTTTGGGGTCACAACTGGGCACTGTAAGTGAATGTTTCTTCTAAACAGTAAAGCTCCAGTGAACAAAAATGTGGCCCAAGATCTCGCAATATCTAAAGCGTGACTATATTTCTCGTCCAGGTGAAACGCTGTCTCACAATATAATTTAAAATTATTATTATTATATAATTAAAATTTAAAATATAAAGTATTTGTATGAGAGTGAAATTAGCACAGAAGATGCCCACGGCACTTTTAAATTGTTTGCGGGCAGCATTTTGGGTACCCGGTGGAAAAAATATACAGCGACAGAGTGACAGACAAAACACGAACGATGTGTAAGCAACATTTCAAAATGCACCTGCACTGTGATGCATTATGTGATTTTCAGTCAAATAAAAGACTTGATTCATTCGTCTCCACACTCTGATTACATGGGCTGAAAATGTACATAGTGGATCTTTCTGTCTACATGAAGTAAACATTACTGTTGAACACACTTTTATAGCCTTACCAGCCTGCTCGGTATTGAAGGCCACCAGCTTGGCGCTCGCTTTGATGTGGTTCCCCTGGGAGGAGAAAGAACCACCTCGGACATTGTTGATCCATTCCTGGATTTAAAGACATGGAGAGCACGAGTAAGGGATTATACTGAATGAAAATAGGGTATAAAAATGCACACAGATAACTGGGGTTAGCAAACATAACAGGGAGGAAAAGAAATGTAATTCAGGCCCAAGTGTTTCATCGGATTACAGTGTAGTGTAGAACCTGACATGTCAGTTTCTAAAAACATTGTTTATCTGTTTCATAATATTAAGGAGCGCACATGACCAAGTTGATGTCACAGCTAGAACAAAATAAAGTGAACATGGAGACAAACAGGAAGGATCTAGCTGAGAGCACGCACACATAACTGCCTCTGAATGAGCAAACCATTGAGGAAGTGGAAAGGCTCCCTGCGTTGCACAGTAGAGAACTCTTAAAACCTCTTTCATAACATTAACGAGGCAAGAGCAGCAAGAGGACAGAGCGTCCACACACAACACAATCCAACAGTTAGCCTACTGCTGCGCTGCTCCTCGGAAAAAGAGGCCAGCCATGACAGACTTTAGGCCTACAGAGGGCTGAAACTGCTCTGCTGAGGAAATGTGCAACACCCTGTTTATGCATCCATGCATTTCAAAGCACCCTTCAAAAGCATGCCTCTGTCTTAACATTATATATTATATTATATATATTACAGATTATATATTCTGCATATGTGTCAAAAGACAAGTAGACATGATGCAAATGTGTTACTGCTGTGACATAAGCTCACACCCATGCTGTGTGTTTAAGTTGGAAATAACAGCACCCAATAAATAATAATCCTCAACTTGATTTCTTCTGATTTAGCCACATATAAGGTTGTGCTTATTATTATTATTATTAAGATTATTAGTCATGACTTGCATAGGAGGTGGAGGTAATCCATTTAGCATTTTACTGTGAGTGTACCTTGTATCATTACATGTAACGAATAAACTTGATTGATAGATTGTATTACTTTCTCCTGAAATCTCAGTAGGACTTCAAACAGATTCGACTCTTTCAATCAGTCAAAATAATATTAAGGACGCTTCTTATATTATTAGAATGCTCGTCTTCCCTCAGTAAATCCACTTGGATCAGCATGTCCAAAATCTGATAGCTGTTTTTCTGCATTTTTCTCAGGATGAAAGAGTTAGACTCAACACCTTTTGCTGGCAATCCATCCACAGGCCTATGATTAGAAAGAGCCTTGGCAACAAAAACTGCATTCAGGGGACTATGGGACACCTCAGTGGGAGCCAAGTAAGAGCTGACTAAATTGATTCCCAGACTATTCCTGTGACTGCTCTCTCAAAGCATGAAGGAAAATCAAGCTGCTCTGGATAATCTGAGGAGAAAGCTCTAACTCGTTTTTTATTTCTTGTCTCTTTAAATCCCCATGAGCCGGCCTTTCCTCTCACTTTCTGCTCCTTGCCCCATTTTCTCTCTTGTACAATGTTTGACATGAAAGCTCCTGTCACATGTCTTCAGCACTGGAATAGATACACACATATTCATTGGGCTTTCTGTGTCAAGGGGGCTACTTTAACGTTCACAGCATTTAAGCACCACCTGCTGTCTCAGATCCTGGGCAGAGATTGGAGAGACACCAAGACCATCCACTGTCTCTCTACATGCCAGGCATTTTACTGCCTTTGTAAAAACAAGGTTGGGGATTATATAATCCACCTAGGTAAGGAGCTGCAGGCGCTGCGATTTGAAACAAATGGGTCAAAAGGACGCTAAAAAATGGCAGGTTTACATGTTAGTATGCAAGACACTCCAGTGTCGTCCAGACACGTCGCCTCTTGCAGCCCGCAGGTCAACTATCACTAAGGGAGGCATCATGAAAGTAATGCCACTTATCGCATTTGCCTTTCAAATTTTAATCTTCCACATTGTAAATCTGTGCAGGTCAAACATATCTCCAAGTTTGCAGTAAAAACAAATTGTGCAACGCCACATAATTATCGAAAACAATAATCAATGAGAAACTCAGTCAGCTATAATATAATAGCATGATGATGGGCGTCAATACAACATCCGATGTGGGCTAGCAGCTCTATGCAACCACATGGCTAGTGTTCACCAGCAGCCCATAGTTCGTGTAAATACTAGTGTGTGAATCCAGATTTTCGTGTAGTTCTCTCAGAACTATGCAGCCCTCCAGATGCAGGAAGTTCAACATCACTTGCACAGGCAGGCGTTCCCCAAAACACCGTTCAAGTAGCACCGCTAATAACCAATGCTAATGTTAGCTAGGTAAACTGGCACTACCCAGACGCTCGTGAGCTACTCACATCTTTCTTGGCAATTTTCGGAGTGGTGTTTTTGAATTTGGACGTCTTAAAGCGATTCATGCTGCCCTCTCAAATTGACTTTCGTGCCTTCCGGGTGTCTCTGTCGAGCTGGTTGGTACTCGGCAAAGAGGACTCCTGCTACAGCTGACAGTTCAGGGTGGCCGCGCAGTGTCTGCTCGCTTTGCACCACAGCGCTGCGCAATTGGGCGGCGTTTACTTTTTACAAACACTACAGAACACCCTGCTGTCAAGCGCTACCCCGGGTCTTAAAACAGGTGCATCCTTTTGTACTTGACACTTGTGGCACTCGTTTTCACAACGAAACTAAAATAATGTTTTAATACTTTTAGTCAGTCTTAATTGTTATCTGTTGGAGCCCCTTGCTTAGAGTTAAAACGAGAATCAATGAGATTTAAGTTAACTTTTGCAACTCGTTTTTCTTGAGAGAGCACCATCTTGATTCAGCCAGAACGTCTTTGCGCCCTCAGTGACGCCCACTCCGCCTTGGACATGCGCAGTGACGCCGGAGCAGCGCTAGATGAAGGAATGATGGCGTCCTCGGCTGCCCGCTGCTCCTCACGCTGGATTACAGTCATCGTGTCCTCTGGACATCGCAGGGCCGCCGGCGCAGTTGTGTGCGTTGGCCATGGCGGGGTCCGAAGTATATCTACACTGGGAGCAGAAACATTGTGGCGGGGAGGGAACCTGATGTGTGGCGGAGCAGGGAAAGCGTTGACATTGAGAGGGCTGTCAGGTGAGAGGGGTAACGTTGTATTAGCCATATGGTATTGGCCTAGGCTAGGCTAGGCTAGGCTTGTTGTCGTTTCTGCTTTACTCGTGACGCCGGGTAAGACAACTTGATAACAGCTCAAACTACAAAGGTATTAAAGAGAAGATGAGCTTGTAACACAACCGCATATATGCACGTAGACATAGTGAATTATGTGATGCAATCAGTTTAGCTTAACTTAGCTAACTTTGGTTTGCAGGCATCAAGTCGAATTTGCAAGGGATGAGGCCAGTGTTACATCATATTGTGCGACCCACCAGATTCTGTTCGCCCTATACCTTAACCTGAACTTATCGATAGACCTCACCATAACCAAACCACAAGGGGAACTCGCCAAGACTGGATTTCAGAACTTGTTGTTCTGTCAACAATCTTTGTTGTCGGCAGAGCCACTTGCATATTGTTTACAGCTTATACTGCAAGGGAATCCTGTCCTTTGCCTTACTGTTCTAAATGGTATTTACTTATTACCCCGTTTTGGCACTTCTAGGTATCAAATCTCCCCATGCTGTCTCCACACTGTCCTTTCACACAAGTGCCCCTGTTAGCAGTAAGCAGGACTTCTACCAGGTCCTTGGTATACCTCGCACAGCAACCCAGAAAGAGATCAAGAAAGCTTACTACCAGGTCAGCTTTGCCCTGAAATACATTCACAGCTCATATTGGCTCTCAGATAATCAATCATCACAGTAGCTGACGGTGTGTTTGCTGTCCCTTAGATGGCCAAAAAGTATCACCCTGACACCAACAAAGATGACCCACAAGCCAAGGAAAAATTTGCTCAGCTGGCTGAAGCTTATGAGGTTTGGTCTCAGTCAAGCTTTCACTTGACTCATCTACTGTATAGTTTCCCTTATGTGTTCTACAAATAGTCATCTCCTCCACCACTACACATGGACCTCTTAAACTTTGCTCCATGTTTCTCTCAGGTCCTGAGTGATGAAGTAAAGAGGAAGCAGTACGATACCTATGGCTCAACAGGCTTTGACGCTGGTCAGGCCGGTGGAGGGCAGCAGTACTGGACTGGACAGACCAGCCACGTGGACCCAGAAGAGCTCTTCCGCAAGATCTTTGGGGAATTCTCTGGAGGCCGTGGCTTTGGAGACTTCAATGCCATATTTGATCAGCCACAGGAGGTTAGTGGGATACTGTGATGTAAAACAGGAGTGAAATTAAAGCCAAGGATCGCCTTTTGATTTTGCTTTTGGGATCTTACCTGCTTCTCATTTGGTCATTTTTATTGGTGTATGTTCAGAGTGATGCATCTCCAGCACCCTTTCTTCTCCCCAACACAGTACATCATGGAGCTGACGTTCACTCAGGCTGCAAAGGGAGTCAACAAAGAGATATCTGTTAACATAGAAGCAGCCTGCGAACGCTGTGATGGTAAAGGCCATGAGCCAGGCACCAAAGTTCAGCACTGCCACTTCTGCAACGGCTCCGGCATGGTAAGAGCTCTGACTCAGCTTTTCTTTAAAGAGTATTTGCGTTTTATTCCTAACGCACATATTGTCCTCCATGTAGGAGACAGTGAACACGGGCCCGTTTGTGATGCGCTCCACGTGTCGTCGCTGTGGCGGCAAAGGCACGGTCATCTCCACCCCCTGTCACTCCTGCCGTGGGGCGGGGCAGACCAAGCAGAGGAAGGCTGTGATGGTTCCTGTGCCTGCAGGTCAGTCTCACTTAACTGTCTATTGTACTGTTTACGTACTGTAAATACCTAAAGGAAATGTTTTTTAATCACTATTAATGAGCATGAATGACATGAAGTCCCTTCAATGGCTTTAAAGTACAACTATACTGCTGATCATAATTCATACTTTTGTATGAGAAAGCTGTTGTATTTTTTTTCTGGCACCATCTAATTCTAAATCTACAATCTTAAAAATGAGTTTCATAACCTTACATATTAACGTGCAACAGTGAAAATATTCCCCACATAATAGAGACATGTTAGGAAAAAAAAATCAAGTTTGATCATTGGCTGTAGTTAAATCTGTGGGTTTTGTTAATCGTAATGGTCATAAGGAAAGCAAAAGTATGATGGTTCATATCCTTAAAATAATAGTCCACACAAAGTCTCTTGAGGATGAAATCAGGGTGACCACGTGTCTGCCCAACTTTCGCGCCCAAAGGGGGGTGAAGATTGATTTTTACACTTTACGTGCTGCTTGATGGTTCCGTCTTCTCAAATGTGAAAATTTGCTGCTTTTCCTTGTCTTAGAGTTAAAAACTGCACATCTCTAATGTAGATCGTGTTTGTATTTGCTTTAAGGAGTGGAGGATGGTCAGACAGTCAGAATGCCAGTTGGTAAGAAGGAGATCTTCATCACGTTTAGGGTGAGTATCTTCAGCAACTCCTCAGCCATTAGCACTGATCTCTCACAACAAATCCTGAGCCAGAAAATAAACAAGCTCTTCATGAAGTGCATGTCCACCTCACAGCCGCTATAACGGGATTGTCTTGTATAATGTAGTGGTGTGGGCAAGTGAGAGACATTGAGCTTGTCTGAGCTGGTTGACTTTGATTGTTGTGATTGATTGTGTTTACGCTCTGGCTTGGCGTCCAGGTCCAAAAAAGTCCCCTGTTCAGGAGGGACGGTGCAGACATCCACTCTGACCTTTTTATCTCTGTGGCCCAAGCTCTCCTGGGCGGCACGGCCAGGACACAGGGCCTTTATGAAACACTAAACTTATCCGTAAGTAGACGGCTACTAAATTCTCAGGTTTCTCCTGACAGTGTGATACATGACTTGATTTTCCTCGTCTTCAGATCCCTGCAGGCATCCAGACAGACCAGAGGATTCATCTGGCAGGGAAGGGAATCGCTCGTGTCAGTGGCTATGGCTATGGAGACCATTATGTCCATGTCAAAATAAAAATACCCAAGTAAGACTCCACAGACAACGTGCCTTGTTCATCTTTTTTGCTGCATTCATACCAGATAGTGCCATAAGAGGGCCTTGTGATGGAGTACTATGACTTGTTGTAGTCTAGAATAAAAGGGATAAAAAAAATTTAAAAAACAGTTCCCTATCACAAGGATCATAAGATGTTGTTTTCCTGCGCAGGACACTGACAGACAGACAAAAAGCTCTGCTAATGAGCTTTGCTGAGGATGAGACAGACGTTGAGGGGACGGTGAACGGTGTCACTGCCACCACCACAGGTAAGAGGACAATCTCAGTGACTGACGACCTCTGACCCTGCTGTTTTGCTTGATCTACTGAAATGGAGGGGGTTAGGAAAGGAAGTTGTGCTTGGTTGTTAAGCCTTGTTGATGCAGTGTTAATCTCTGTCCAGATGGGGGCAGCAGTGGTAAGCGGTCTGAGGCAGGGCAAAGCAGGCATGGCAAGAAGGAAGGAGAGTTGAAACAAGAGGGGGGCTTCTTCTCCAAATTAAAGAAATTGTTTAGTTCTTCTTGACAGCCACAAACCAGGTAGGACTAGAATTTATTCGTTTCTCTCACTCCACTTTTTCTGTTCTGTTCTTCACAAATGGATGTGATGCATTATGCAACAATTACCTTGTCATTATCTGGTTTGTGGCTGTCATATAAACACTAATGCATGCACCCCTGCATTCAGCTGGATGTCCAGCCAGCCTGAGATGTCCTAAATGTCTGGTCTGCATCTTTTATATGCCGTTTTGTTTTTTAAAATTGGACTGCTTTGGCAGCAAAATGTTTTTAAAAGTTAAATTTACCAAGAATCCATTTTACAACCTTTTTCCTTTTCCTCCTTCTCAAAGGTAAAAGGTCATCCTGGAACTGACAAGCTTCATCAGTAGGGCAGAGGGGTGGACGGCGTAAAGTAAGAACAGCCATATTCTAAAGGAGCAGGTGCTTCAGGAGTATTGGATGAGGTCCACAGAGGTTCTGGAACGCATCAGTACGGACCTACCTACCCAGTCCTGCAGTGAATAAGGCAGAGGATTACCTGCTCTATAACTCTGCCAAAGTGAATCCACACACAAGAGGGTGTTCAGGCGCACAAATCACCTCTCTGTCAAATGTCCATTGAGGCCATTTGGGCAGCAAAGACTTTAACATTTATTGCAACAGTCGGTCCATGTTGGTTTTCAGTTTATCATCAGTAAGAACAACATGATACTAAAAGAATCCATGCGCACAGAAATCAATTATTGTATTGACAGATACAACAGATAAGTTTTTTGGGGTGGGGTACGTGAAGCTCCTATCCTTTTAGTTCTGTATGCTTTGGCTGTGTTTTCATGAATACTTATGTCTGCAGTAGTCTCCTGTCTCAGATTAAGGAACTGTGGTTAGATAAAGTTGACTCGGGCTTTCCTTGTCTGTGAACACTGATGACCGGACTGTCCCTCTTTTGACCCTTTTTAAAAACGAGAGTAAATTCACTTGAGTTCTGCACCTTCATTGCATTTGTAC